TTGACCTTTCTTTGTCTGGATGAAAGCTTGTTTTCCTAGTCTTCCAATGAAGTATCGTTTTCCAAGAAAGTGAAATTAAGACATTTTTTTGTTGTTGTTGTTGTTTTTTTGTTTCCATGAAAAGTTTTACCTTTAAACTAACGCTTTACCAGAACTGTTCCATACAGGGGCGCGGGTCATAGAAAAAAATTGAGTTTACTAAAAAAAAATATTTATGTGCTGTAAAATAAATCACTAGAAGCGCTTGTCTATCATCAGCAATAAAAATGCTCAAATGAAGCATTTTTAAAGTTCCCATTATTAGTTCATTATCTCCCTATTTCTAAATATATATCTTGTTTAATTTTTCAATCGTTAATAAAATACTTACTATTCATCCATTCAAGTTTAAATCCCTTTTTTTTTAAACTTATAGTGGCTGACACTTGATGCTAATACAGTTTTTTTCAATCTTTATTCATTGATTAAATTAAAAAATGAAGAAATAGTAATAAACAAAAATAATAGCCTAACAGCATATACAGAAAGGAAAATTGTTTGTTGTGTCTCTGTAGCGCAATGGACAATGCGTTGGATTTCTAATCCAAAGGTCGTGAATTCGAATCTCACCTGGGATGGCCTAATTTCTGAGAATGTGATTTCTTTTTTACTATACTGTTTTATTAGAATAATTAAATTTAATTAATAAATAAATAGTAACAAACAAAAAAATATTCCAACACCATACATAGAAAGGAAAATGGAGAATGGCAAGGAAAATCGCTTTCTATTTTGTCACTTAATATTGTGATTCTGTGTGTCCTATGTATATATATATTTATATTAATTGTAATTATTTAATAAAAAGTAACTAAAATAAAATTTTTCTTTGTTTACCTAAGTAAGAATTGACGTTAAAATTTGTTTTTATATTACTTGTTTAATTTTATGTAGAGTTTTTTTTTTTAAATTAGAGAGTTCTGTACTTATCTCAACAATCTTTCATTTACATCGCGATCACATTTCGAAAAATAGCTTTTTGCCCTTCAAAATGCGCCTTAGGGATCGCATTATATTTGAGAAAAGTACAGTATTTTAAAAAGTTGTATTTTTATTCCATAATGAAGGAATCTGATATTGATTCTTGATTCTTTTGATGGTGATTTTAAAACTCTCAAATACAAAAAATTGAAGTAGGTTTTTTTTTCTGTTTGTTTTTTCTAAAAATTGCTTTGCAAATTTTAAAATTTTTAAGAAACTAATTTTTTTTATATTTATTAAATATTTCATTTAATATACCTACATATTTTGTAATCATATGTTAAATATGTGTAAAAAATATGAATAAAACTCCACTTTAAATTTAAATCACAAACATTTATTTAATTATGCTTAAAATACACAATGAAAACTTTTTGTAGCTGAAAATATTATGGATATTTTTCAAAGCCATATTATGTGTAAAACGGATTATTATATGCTATATATGGTATTTCCGATTATTTTCTTACTATAATTCGTCAAAGTTGTACGAAAATTGGAGAATTTGACATTTTTTACTCAAATACTTCACTAAGGCATTCTTGGAAATTTATAGGTAAATCGCGTGAACTAAATGTATTTAATTGATTTTCATGAGTATAAAAAATTCTATTCTCCCATTATGAAGCTAGAAAAATTTATAAAAATTATTAAGATATAAAAAATATTAAATTTCATTCAATTCAATTCGTAAAGCACTTTTAATACACAAATAAGCATGAACCAAAATTTCCTGGGCGTTTGCAAATTCACTTAGACCTTGCTACTCAAACAGTAGCAAAAGCCCCTGAAATAAAAAAAAATCCCTACTATGCATGAATCAAACAAGTAATATAAAAAAATATATGTATAAGTCAATTCCTACTTAGGTCAAAAAAGAAAAATTTTATTTCAGTTACTTTTTATTAAATAATTACAATACAAATATGTATATACATATGACAGAATCACACTATTAAGTATCAAAATAGAAAGCAATTTTCCTTACTATGTAGGGTGTTGGACTATTTTTTGTTACTATTTTTTCATTAATTAAATTTAATTTATTCCAATATAATAGTATAGTAAAAAGAAATCACATTCTCAAAAATTAGGCCATCCTGGGTAGATTTCGCACTCACAACCTTTGGATTAGAAGTTCAACGCGCTATCCATTACAGAACGAACGATTTTCCTTCCTATATATGCTGTTGGACTATTATTTTTGTTTGGTAATATTTATTCATTTTTTAATTTAATTAATGAATCAACATTTGAAAAAACTGTATAACATCAAGTGTCATCCACTTCAAGTTTAAACAAATGTATTTGAACTTAAATGGATGAATAGAAAGTACTTTATTAATTATTGAAAATTTGAACAAGATATGTATACATATATAGGGAGAGAGAGAACTAAAATAGTAGGAATTGAATAAGCATGTCCCAAAATTTCCCGGGCATTTGCAATTTCACTTAACCCTTGGAACTCCAACATTATCAAGTCTCTAAAATAAAAAAAAAATCCCACAATTGTACATGAATCAAATAAAGAAGGGAAAAGTAATAATCATTCATTTTTAACAGCATGTCAATGACACAAAATCTTCAATTTTTCCTTATTCAACCATGAGCAAGATTCAAAATATTTTAATTGAATGCGATAATATTATCATCCCTATTCGAGTCGATGGCCTTCTATTACGCAGTATTATGACGGGTAAACCCGCATCTAAACAAGAAATATTCAGTATTTATAAACAAAATAAATAATTACACCCTAACGTTCATTTCTGCATGATCTTGACTTTTAACCTCAGTTGAAAGTAACACCTAACGATTCGAGCATTCATTAAAAATATGTCCTTGTATTGTATAATATTACCGAGACAGATGATTCATAAAATAAAAATCGGTCATGGATGAATTTGCGCTTTTACGGATTTTGGCTTCTCCGACGTAATTCAAGTGTAACAAGTTTATTTACATTTCGGTATTTACTCATTTCTTCAAAACAAACAGAAATCAAGTTACTTCAATTTGAGAAGCAAAATATTTTTAGCTGAAGGTTTTTTCGTGTGTAACTGAAAGTGAAGGAAAACAGTGATGTCATAATTGTTTGTTTACGTATTGAAAGGAATGTTTTGTTACGAAATATTACTGATTTAGCTTAAGGACCTCAGTTATTGTAAAAAAAAGAAAAAAAAATGTTAAGTAATATTTCATCTTTTATAATTAATTAAATTAATTTTATAGTTAAATTGAAAATATTTATATCGTGTTGAATATTTTAAAATATTTTTAAAAAATGGAAAAGTTTATAGATGTTTAGGAAAATTAGAGTCTTTAATGCTCGAAAAACACCCCCAGCCCCCCAAAAAATTATGTTTTAAAATATTAAAAGTTGAAACTTTAAATAGTAGTTACTTTAAAGTATGTTGTTACATATTTACTTCGCAAAATATAACCTATAATTGTTTTGAATTAGATTTCAAATTAAAAAACTTCCAAGGACCTTTATTACAAACGATTCAAATTAATTTTTAAATATAACTTTTAGTTATAAATTATGCTTTTATTGCTAATTTGTTCAAAAAAATTAAAAAAACTTAATGGATTTTTAATTTTAAATTTATGTATAAAAAAAGCATTATTTCAATAAGCTTCGATATTATGCTAATCTTTGCTAAAAAAAATAAACTTGTATTGGAATTACATGGACTAAAAATATTTGACTTTGAAATAATTCTCAAAATTTTATTGCCTTTGTGATCTTCTTTTCTTTTTAATCAATTTACCATTAGCAAAAAGGGCGGAAAAAGATGTACACATTTTTTTCCATTAACTATTTTGTTTTTATTCTTCTACACAAAAATTGTTTTATTTAAAATTCTGTGACTATAAACCTAATCTATAAAATATATGATGTCTCTTTCCTACAAAAATGTAATACTAATGCATAATTCGTAAATCATATGTATCATTCGTAAAATTTTAATTGTTGACATACATACTAAGCAACATCTGAAAAAAAATGCCCCGGTCTTTTTTGGTGTTTATTCCCTTCAGGGGTACCTGAAGAGTTTATTAAATCAAATGTTTTCAGTTTTTTTGGACAGATGTTTTTAGCACGTGTGTCACGCGCTCGTTTCTCTTCCACGTGCTCTAATAAATGAGGTCGTCGATCGTTTTATTTTTCTACTCTTAGTCTTATTAACAATTCATTGCAAAATAATAAAATATGTGTCACAGACCTACGTTTTGCGTGCTTTATTTGATGATTTTTTTTTTCGGATAGTAAAGCAAAACTGACCGTTATTTCAATGAGTAACAAAGTCTCAGAAAACATAAACTATTTACCTTAATTCGACCAGTCTTGTCACAGAGAAAAAAATAAGTAAAATTTATGTAACGTATAGGAAAGATTTGTTTTGGAAAAGCTAAATAATTATAAGAATGATGATATATGAGCAGAAAATTATAGGAAGAATAAAATGCAGAATTCTTTTGCAATTATTGTCTCTAAGGTTTTCGAATTTTGCTATAAAATCATTAAACTACTACTTAATGACGAGGTATAAATTTTCACAGAAGCACTTTCAGTTCATTTTTTTATTTGAATTACATAAAATTTTATCTTTAATGAATGTGTGAAATTTTACCCTTCCTAAGCATACATCATCTTCTCAAAAGAGAATGTTATGCACATAATTCTGCTTTAGAAAACGATTAAGAGGACATGGTACGATTTACGCAAAAATTTTTAATTTGAGGATTTTAAAATTTTTTTGGTTCCCTCCTATGTATGTATACTACGTTAAGCAGATTTTGTGCTCAAAATTTCATTAAAAGCTAGCCATCTCATTTTTTAAGAAAAAAAATTTTTAAGTGATTTTAAAATGCTACTCCTCCTACAAAAATTGACGTACATGCATGAAATTTGATTTACAAGGTCGTGAAACTATATATGATAAAAGCTGATATGGGTTTGGCGTTAACGTGATTGGTATTCATACAATATTTCTTTTTATGAATGTTTATTGAAAATTCCTTAAAAAATTTACAAATTCTGAGTTCCCTTATTTTTAAAAAAAATAAATATTGCTTTGATTCAAAAATGCATACCAACTTTTCTTATATGTACTATTAGCAATAGGTAAAAAAAAATTCAAAGCATTAGGCGCAATAGAAAAAAGACTTATCATTTTAAATGAAGACAAGCTAGTTACTTTATCTTTCTGAGATAAGTCAGTTTAAAGTTTTGATTTGCCATAGGGATGTGAATAAAAACGAACGTGAAAGCTATCATAATTCTGCATTTTTTTAAGTTTAGAGCTTTCAAATTTTGTGAGGTTATAGAAATGTATACAAAGAAAAATTTAGGCTAAAAAAATGAAATTTGATTTTTTTTACCGATTTTGGTTAGTTGAATCATACTGTGTCCCCTTAAATGTTTTTCTACGTCGATAAAACTATTCAATTTCGAACAATTTTTTTTTCGTAGACTATAAATTTATAGATAAGAAGTTATGATGATATCTATCCCTGAAAAATAAATATTCCTTAAATATTTTCAAGTTTTTCTAAAATATTTATATATATAGTCTAATTCTCTACA